ACTAATTGAAAATTCCTCAAGTCAAGCCAATGCTGTCAGGCAGCTGGCAAGTTTCTCGCCAATTTCCATGCAACAGCGACACAACACAATATGCCAATCGATGTGTGTGTATGTGTGTGTGTGTGTATGTGTATATGTTCGTGTGTGGGTTCTGTGTTGTGTGAACGTATTTTCACCATTATGGCTATCGCCCCTTTGGGGCCGCCTAATGGCCATCACGCCCCCTGAAACACTCCCCAACACAAAGCGTCAGTAAATATGAATGAGTTCCAGTTAATGAAATATTGAAATATGAATAGACAAACTCGCCTTCCTACACTCCAAAGCAATCATATGTCCATCAAGCACAACTTTGTCTGTCAAAGTCGACAGCGAAATGAGCTCAGCTCAAGCGCATGAGCAGGACTTGGAAATACCCTGTAATGCTGCTAACATTCAGCATTTTAACTTCGAATCAAAATAATCACTCATATAAATGGAAATAAAAATCTCTTGCAAATCGGCATAAGCTGTGCCCTATATACCTCTCTCTATCAAACTTATTAGGGTAGCGGCAGAAGAAAAAAAATATAATTTAATCGTAAGCTTGCAAGCGAAATAAAGCCTTTACCGCGAAGGGGCTTTCACCCATCAGAAAAAAAAGGAAAAGTAACCCGAAACAAACAAAAATTACAACGCTTAATTATGAAAAGTTTTTTTTTTTTTTCTCCTCCATCAGTTCGTCGAGGAAAATGAGTAAAAATGTGGAAAACACACGAAACGAGTTAATGAGCGAAATTATAATGAAGTTTTTCGCTTAGCTGGGGTGTTCGACGAGTACCGCTAGCCACCCTCGTGGCGCCAGCATGTGGGTCAGAGCTGTTCGGGTAGCGGCTGCCTGTAATGGGGCTAATCAAATATTTGACATTTGTTTTGGGCGGCGCTGCCGTTGAGCTCAACTTGTCTACTCCAAAACTCATTAGAATCGCTGTGCGTGGGCCTAGACAAGGAGCCCCTCATTGCTAAGATGGACAATCGCACAGGGCAGACGGCCTGGGCAGTCAGCCATGCTGTATGCAGCGAAATATTTCATTAAATCGCTTAACATTGCAACTGCAATCCAAGTAACCAACAGCCAACATCAACAGCCACATTAACAATGACGCCAACAACACCATAAAAAAAGCAAAGGCGCACCAAGTGCAACGTCGGGTCAGCAAGATATTTAAATGACCTGCGCAAGAGTGTTAAGACTGTTCAAAAAGAAAATTATAAAATAAGAATTTACATAAAAATCAATTTGATAAAAATTATAAAAATTGTTTCTTTGCTGAGGCAAATTAAAAAAAAAAAGCCAAAATCATATATTTAGCTATTTATCAAATATATGTATAAATATATATGCATAAAAAAATATATAAGAATATCGTTTGTGACTATTTTCATTAAACTTATAACTAAATTTGGCAATAATAATAAAGAAAGTACGTCAAACAAACAAAAATAAATTATTTTTTTTATACATATCAGAAAACGAGTCAACTAGGGCTTGATATAAATTAAATAAAACATAATAAAATACTTAGTTCCTATGAAATGTATAAAAAAATAACAAACACTTAATACACTCGAGTTTAGATTATTCAAAGTTTTCATTTACATAGGAGTTCAAATTATCGAGAATAACCAAGAAGTGCAATTTATCGTGATTTTTTTTTTTCGATTTAGCGCGGTACAACTAATTGAGACTCAACTGTAACAATAAATAATTCATAAGCATAATCTACAAGAAATAATTCATTTTTATTATTTTCTAATATATTTTTTTTTTTAACTTTAAAGTAATATTATTATTATTATATAAAATATATTTTATATAATATAAATATCATGTCATCTAAAGGTACATTTTTTAATATTCTTTGCAATCGTCAACTATCTACAAGAACAAGAGAATCATTTAAATTAAAATTCACAAAATCTTGATTATTAATTCGATATTCTTTTGGTCATTTTTGTAACAACTGCATGCTTCGAGGAAAACAACATTGTGAACCGTCAGCTAATGTACAGCTGCTTGTATATTGACATAGATTGGGGGTCGAACAACCTTCATTAATGTTCTTGATAGTCTGAATTGTAGATGCCGTGGGGAATTAAAGTGTAAACGCGTGCACACAAACGAGTGGAGGAAAATGAAAAAGACAAAAACGGAAGCGGAAATGTTTAATGCGGGTTTGCTAGCACCGAGGACGATGCGTTGACGTGTCCAACTCGCCGGCCAGCCGGCCGGCCGGCTGCCCGGCTGCCTGGATGACCAATGTAAAACGTAGGTCGAGCCTTGGAGCGAGACCAAAGCTGAGACCATGTACATGTGAGCTACGCAGTACCGAAAGCCGATAAATATTTATTTGCATGTATATGTGAGTCTGTGTGCGTGTGTATTTATGTGTGCGTGTGTGTATATGTTAATTAAGAATTTGCAGCAGGCTGGCAGACGATTAAATGTGTACGAAAATGTGCCGCCTGGCATCCATTGACCCCACCGCACAACAGCCGCATGCTGTCCATTGCCATCGTTGTGCTGGACACGCAAAGGACGACCATTAGTTCCGGCCGGAGGGGCAAGGGTTGGCGCCGATAATCGAATGAATTAATGGAACACGCAAATGAAATAAAAATCGGCAGCGCCAGCGATTCATTTGGATAAATCTCTTAGCTGGCAATGACTACAAAGAGAAACAGCCATACACGAGAGAGCCAGTTCCTACCGAACTGAATACAGCCTTTATAGAAAAATGAAATATCATAGACCTTAATCAGTATTTATTCATGTAACTCATTCTAGGTAGACTAGAATTCATATACATCACGTTTGTATTTAAATATATTTTATTTAGTTTTCACCTTCTTCGTCTTTTTAACCTTTGATGCATTTTTCGGCTTTCCACCCATGTTTTTATACAAACATTTAACCATCTTTCTAAAGACGAACAAACTCAGAGCTATGAGACATGAGAGCAGTGCATATATGTCCAAATTATTGGCTGCTATAAAACTCATGTGGACAAGGGGGCTCTGCAAATGAGCTGCTCCATGATGCCTCAGTACATATTCAACCCAATAGAGCACGGTTTGACGAGCTGTCAATGGGCGATCACGGAAGAGCTGGGAGAATGCTTTCACCTTTTCCGTATACTTGGGATTATCGAGAACTTCTTTAATGTTATCATGGAAGGGTTTCTCCTCCAGGGTTAATAAGCTCATACTCAAACCAAATCCATCCTTAACCATCTTCTCAGCATTAGCGGGTTGATCGCCAAACACTGGCAGCGAGAGCATAGGCTTTCCGTGAAACTGAGATTCTGTGATGCCGCCTCTTCCAGCGTGATTAATGAAGAGCTTAATATTGGGATGGGCTAGAATATCATCTTGTGGCAGCCACTTGGAGTAGAGAATATTGTCAGATTTTCCAGGGGTTTTATGAAGATCCTCCCACTTCCAGATGATTTTTTGCTTCAGCTTGGATAGAACGTTAAACATCTTTTGAACCGTATCCGGCTTCAAAAATGCTCCTTTCAAATTGGAACCTAGACTAAGAAGGATTGCTCCGTGTGTAGCATTTTGTAAAAAGTCAGCAATTGGTTTTGGCAAGGGATCGGGCTTTTCCTTAATTTGAATTCCTCCAACTTCAATAGCTCCCGGGAAATTGGGTCGAATGGGACCTTCACTAATGCCATGAGAATTGAATAGAACAAGCGATATGTTTTTGTTGAGATCTTCATATTTCGGCATAGTTGGATCATCTCCATAGAGCTCCCTGTGAAAAGATTCAAAAGCTCAGAAATTGTATAGAGCATTTGTTAGGTTCTCACTTACTCGTAATATTTTGCATTATCCTTATCCGCAAGGTACACAAATGTTTTAAATGCGCTTAGTAATATATAATTTTTTAGGCGCTGTCCAAAGCCCATTGATTTACCTTTTTCGACGGAAACACCCATGGTCGGAACATAGGCTTGGGTTTGAAAGTCCCCAAGCATGGGATCGAATAGTTCGGATTGGAACATTGAAGTGACTATCACCACTGGCACCTTCAGCTTCTGAGCAATGCCTATTTGAAAAGTATTGAAGAAATAGCCGACCATCACGAGATCGAACTTGTTATCCTTGTTCTCGTACAGATCTCGAACACGTGGATCTTTCATGACATCGCGACTCTTGTCAAACATTGCCAAAAAGTCTTTCCGCATGCGAAATACAGCTGCAATAAGGTCAGAATTGTCTCTCTCAACCATTCCGGCGATGCTGGCCTCCTTGGCTTTGTCCTCCTCTTCGGTGAGCGGCACGTATATAAGGTTTAGATTCTTGTGGGTCACGTGCGGTATCAGAGTTGTGATCACCGTGACATTATGTCCGTTCTCAGCCAACACCTTGGCCATTGAAATTTCAACAATCAGATGAGATGGAGAGGGACAGCTAAATACTGCTAAAATGTTTGCTCCGCGGGATCCATTGATAAAGAGAGCCGCGAGAAGCAATAGGAATCGAATCTTGAGCGACATGTTCCCGGCTAGAATATTCGTCGTACACTGAACTTCACTTACTGTGAAGTAGGAATTTTTATGGTTAACTAAATGTTGTTTAGCTCACAGTGACGTGGCATTTATATGCGATATGGTCGGTTATCAATTAACGAAATGTAATGAATATAGCTAAAAATATGGGCCACTGCTTGCCCACAGAACAATTGGTAATCTGCAGTCTATTCACTAACTGAGCGTATCGGCATAGAGTGCAGTCTTATAAATTGATAAGCGATAGCACTGACAAACTTAGTAGGTAGAGGATTTGTTAACGATGCGTTATTGGAGGTTTTCTTTTCAAGGTGTTTCTTAATAATACTTTATCATCCGGAGAGCAGCTGTTTCAAATATTCAAGGAGTGTCTTCATAGAAGATTCTTTTATCAACTGTTTACTAAATTAAATCGCTTTTATAAATAAAATCTCAAATGTCCCACTAATAATCGGAATTCGGCTTAAAATGGTTTCTGGAATATGGTGAATTGTTTATTATTTTAATTCAAATAGTTTTCAGTTTCCTTGGCTTGAAAAGCGAGCCACTTTTCCTTTTTCCACTAATATTTTCATACAAAAACTTAAATACTAATTTGAAGAGAACCCAAACAACAGCTATGAAGAAAATTAGCAATGCATATATGTCCAAATTATTGGCTTCTATAAAACTCATGTGGACAAGGGGGCTCTGCAAATGAGCTGCTCCATGATGCCTCAGTACATATTCAACCCAATAGAGCACGGTTTGACGAGCTGTCAATGGGCGATCACGGAAGAGCTGGGAGAATGCTTTCACCTTTTCCGTATACTTGGGATTATCGAGAACTTCTTTAATGTTATCATGGAAGGGTTTCTCCTCCAGGGTTAATAAGCTCATACTCAAACCAAATCCATCCTTAACCATCTTCTCAGCATT